GCAGGAATGTGTTGTTTGTATTTACAACTTGCTTCTCAGGGTCCATCACAAGACCTGGGACATACCAGGCACTTAATTAGTATTTGTGAAAGGAAGTCACCTATATGATGACCTATGGTCGCCCTACAGAGAGACCCAACTTTAAGAAAATCTGATATATAAAGATCTAGAATTATACAGTGGATAAACTGGGAGAAGTGGGGATTAATTATGCTGAGTTAATTGGGTCACTCACTTATTCATTTAGTCAATAGGCTTGTATATGTTGTGCTAAGTACAGTATGTTGAAATTGAAATTGTTAGCTTTCCAAGGCAAAAACAACAACAAACCTTTATCCCTATCTACCTATCTATCTATTTGTCTATCTATCTATCTTCATCATCATCATCTATCTGATAACTGCCATAAAAAAATAAACACTAGTTGTTTCAAAAATATAGACAAGAACTTTTCCTTCCCAAGAGAGAAGTAAGGAGTAAGGAGGGCTCCCTGAAGACGGTGGCATTGCCTGGAACTTGAAGAGTGGGTAGGATTGTAACAGGTGGAGAAACAGGTGAACCTTGGGTGAAGGAAACAGCAGGTGCCAAGATACAGCAAAGAGAAAGCACAGTAACTATTTTGGGGGAAATGGGGGCCTGATTAGTTACAACCCAGGATATGGTTGATGGGCATTAATGCTGGAAAGGTTGCCTGGAAATGATAGATTCTGGGAGAACTGGTATGCCATCCTTAGAATTATGGAATCTTTTATTTATTTATTTATTTTTCAGTAAGTAACAGGGAAGCCGTAGGAGCTCTTGGCAGGTAGATGCCCTGATATAGCAGTACTTTGGCGTAGTTATTCTGGTGGCAGAGTGGGGAGAGAATGAAGGCAGCGAGACCAGATAGAAGGCTATTAAACTTGCCAAGGTGAAGGATGATGAAGGCCTGGTCAGAACAGTAGAAAGAGGAGAGAAAAAAGAGAGATGTATCTTGATTTACAAATTCTTAAATGTGTCATAGGAACAAGGAGGTAAGAAAAATATGTATACTAAACTGTTAAGAGTCAAGGCAAAAAAACATGACTAGATAAAGAAGATACTAGAGAGTTTCCCATGCAACCTTTCAGAAAATTGAGTATTGTGTACATCTAGGTGCTTCAGTCCAGAACTAAGGGGAATTCCTGC